TCTTCGCCCGCACCCTGCATTGGCACTTCGAAACCTCCAGGAAAATGGTTAAAACTGTTTCTCAGAGACTCCCAGAAGCAAAAACCTACTGGGCCATAGGGTTGCCAGGTGTCTGGTTTTCACCCGGACTGTCTGTTATTCGGGTCCCCCGTCCGGTAAAAAAAACAGAAAATACCGGACATGTGCCGTGTCTGGTATTTCCTATTTCCCTTGGATGGAAGCCCCGCGGGGACAATTTTCCCCTGCCACATCTGGCGGGAGTGGGGAGGTGAGGAACGCGGGGCCATTTAAAGGTGCAGCGCCCTTTTTTTTTTATTATTATTATTGTTCAACAGAATTTTTTCCCAGTGTTTTTTATTGGGGGAGGCAGGGTGTTTGGTATTTTTTGTTAAACCATCTGGCAGTTCTTCTGTGCCATCTGGCCCATCCCCCATGGCCTGTTCTCCCAGGCACTGGCCAGTTCTGGTGCTCCTGGTGATGGATGGGGTGTCCACCAGCTCCTTGAGGGAGAATTCTCCACAGCCAGATCCATCTCACTGAGCCTGGCCCCTCAGGCTGGATGGACCCCAGGCCTATCAGACCAGCCCATGTAGTATAGACCAGTGCTTGGGAATCCCCATGAATCCACCTGGCCTGGTTCCGAACTGGAAACGCTGGCCAGAGCTGGTCAGGCCCTGGCCTGGGAGCCCAGGTTGCTGCTGACTGACGGGTGGGGGAATCTCTGGGGTCTCTCGTGCTCACTCGGACTGATTCCAATGGCAGGGCCAGCTGCTGGCGAAGACCTGGAACTCCGTGTTCGAAGGCACCACCCGCTTCAACGCACGGGGCTTTCCCATCTACACCTTCAACGGCCGCGACGTGCTGACGGATCCCATCTGGTGAGCTGGAAAGGGGAGAGCAGCGCTGCCCGCATGCGGATTCTCCGCCTGCCCTGAGTACAATGGGGCAGTCGCTGTGGGTAGGGGATGGTAGAGGGCCCCTCATTGCCTGGTGACCTCCCGGTTCAGGCTAGGCCCTGGAGAAAGCCCAGGAGCAAAGGATTTTAAACCAGCCCCTTCCACAGAGGGGCCCAGCTTGCACCTGGGGCTGGCTGTGCCAAGTTCCCCTTGGCTTCCCCCAAAGGGTGGGCCCCCAGCACCTCTGAAAATCAGGCCCCATTTGGCCTTCTTCTGCCTTTCCCTGGTAGGATTGCCAGGTGTCTGGTATTGACCCGGACAGTCCAGTATTTTTGCCTCCTGTCCGGTAAAAAAAATTCAAAAAATACCGAACTCCTAAAATGTCCGGCATTTCCTGATTTTTTTTCCCTGCAATACTAAGCACCTGGCCACCCTACACACACTCAGCAACTGGGCCCAGCCCCCCGCCACTCCCTCCCGCTTACCTGGTTCCACAGGGGAGCTGTCTTCTGGCTCCGAGAAGGAAAAAAAAATACCCGCTGGCCAAATAATGGGGGCTGAGGGGTTTTTTTTGTTTTTTTTTTTTTTTTTTTTTTTGCTTAATAACTCTCAGGGTCCTTTTGGGGAGATCTCCCCCTTTTTTTTCTCAACAGAATTTTTTGCCTGGTGTTTTTTTGTGGGGAGGGGCACGTTGGGTATTTTTGGTTAAAGCATCTGGCAACCCTACTCCCTGGTCCCAACCTGGCGCTGTCTCTTCAGGGCTCGCAAGGCGATCTGGCACGGCTCCAGCCAGCGTGGGCACCCGGCGCCAAAGGAGAACTGCCAAGGGTGGCGGAACAGCCTCGCCGAGGGTTTTGCCTCGCCCCTGACCGAGGGGAAGCTCCTGGCTGGGCAACACCGTAATTGCTCCACCCCCTTGGTCGTCCTGTGCATGGAGATCAGCTTCCCTTACCTGCACATGTGGTGATGGGAGCTGCTGGGGGGCAGCCAGGGGCTGCCGTGGGCTGGTGAGCCGCCATAGCTGGATCCTGCCAGGATGAATGACAGTGAGCAGATGGTCTCCTGCCAGCCCTGGGGCTGCTTTTGGCTTTGGGGCTATTTCACCGTTATCCAGCCCAGTTGGACTCTGCCTTGTACCCATAGAGGGATCTGTCCGTCACCAGGTGGGAGGTCCATATGTGCAGATTAGAGACTGGCGGTGGGTCGGTAACCTCCCCTCCTTAACTCAGAGCCATGCCGCTGTGCCATCTCCCCAGGCACTGGACCTAGTTAGCTAGTGCCAACCACAGGGCCTCCCTGCGAGAGGGGGGCCATTCCCCCAGAGCAAGGCCCCGTTGGGGTCCCAGGCAGGGGCTGCAGCGAGCACTGAGGTGCGGGGCAGAGCTGGGCTATGGGGCCAGTGCTCTCTGGCTGAGCTTCCCTGAAGCCAGGGGCGAGGAACCTTTTTTGGGCCGGGGACCACTGACCCACAGAAACATCGGCTGGGGGTTGCACACAAGGAGAAAGACATTGGAGGGCCCAGGCTAGTAAAATCCTGCGTGCCCCAGCCTGCAGGGGGATGGCGGTGGGGCTGGAGAACCAGCGTGGGCTCCCCAATGCTGGGGGGGACCCCCCAGCCTTGGGGGACAGGATGCAGGCAAGCCGGGGGCTGCATCTAGCCCCTGGTCCTTAGGTTCTCCACCCTTCCCTAAGGATCTGTGCAGGGACTCTCCTGAGGAAGCTAAAAGCTCTTCTCCTATCACCAAGTAGAGGGGGGAGATGCCTGATCCATTATCCCGGAGCGCTACCTCTGTGTTCACACACCCCCCCTTCGGCCTCTGTCAGCTCCCAGCTGCTCCCCTGCCAGCGCTGCATCTAGCCCCTGGTCCTTAGGTTCTCCACCCTTCCCTAAGGATCTGTGCAGGGACTCTCCTGAGGAAGCTAAAAGCTCTTCTCCTATCACCAAGTAGAGGGGGGAGATGCCTGATCCATTATCCCGGAGCGCTACCTCTGTGTTCACACACCCCCCCTTCGGCCTCTGTCAGCTCCCAGCTGCTCCCCTGCCAGCTGGTGGG